AAGGCTTCCTCTCCTATCTACTGCATATGCCAGTCCATTTGCAAGCTAGCAAATAAATCCCAACCCAATATATACAGAAGCCTGATTCAGACCTCCAAACCGTCTAGAAGAGACACAAGCGTTATTCACAGCAACAAAATGTAAGAGGTGACCTCAGTGTGGCCATCAAGAAAGGACAGGCTGAGCAATGACATTCACTTATTGCGGAATATTATGAAGCCCAGAAATCATGTCTTTTCAAGAATTTTAATAACATAAAGACTTTTAATATAATGTTAAAAGGAAAAAACTCAAGCTTTTTAAAAGCCAGGTTATAGAACTGTACATACAGCTTGATTCTTATTTTGTAAAAGAAAAAACCCTAGTAAATAGATTTATACATTGCAAAAGATAAGGAAGGAAATAGAATATAATGTTCACAGTTATTATGCTCTTGGGGCAAAGGTGGGATTAAGGAGGATTTTTATGTTTTTTGTATTTTTACAATCTTCTAAATCTTCGGCATGAACATGTATTACTTTTATAGCATGAAAGAACATTAAAATGAAGATTTGGATAAAAATCTTGTGCTAACAAAATACAAAGCAATTAAATAAATAAGTCAGTGACAGTTAATTCACTGAAAAATTCAAAGTTAATATAATTGCCTTTTGAATATGTCATGTTATTGAAAAAACTTTTAAAAGTTAACTTGTATTTAAACTTACTAATTAGAAGCCTTATTAAAACATTACGAAAATAATCTTCAACATTTTAAAAATTTCATCCAATTGTCCCTGATATTTGAGCAAGTGTTTCATTTCTGTGTTTGACGTAGGGTCTCACCAGGTAGCCCAAGCTGGCCTTGAACACACTGTGCAGTCCAAGGTGGCCTGGAATTTGTAATCCTCCTGTCTCAGCCTCCTGAGAGGTGGGGTTACAGGTTTGTGCCACCATGCCTGGCTTAAGCAAGTGGTATATGTCAAATATTTGAGGGAATGATTTCTTCATGTTCTGCTTCCAATCAACCTATACACTTGACAAAAATAATAACAATAACAGACTTTATGTTTGTAAGACACTATAAATTTGCAAAGCATCTCATACTGAGTATCACGGGGAACAAAACAGTCAAAAGGTCCCTGTCTTGTGAACCTCACATGGTACTGGTGAGAGAAGATGATAAATGACTGAATAAGATAAACAGATGTTGGGGTGAGAAATTCTATGAAGAAAAGTGGAGAGAAGGGCATAGGTAATGAATGAGAGATTTCTCTTTTAAGTCAATCAGCTGGTTAAATCAGTTTGATTATTGTCTGCAGAAAAAAATGAAGGTCTCTCTAAAACTGCTATAGCCTGTGGACAATGAACACTTTCTTTTTCAGTGTTCAGACATTAACTGCAGATCTCCACAGAGAAGTCATCTCAATAACTAATTACATGTCCTCTAAGTGACAATGTGCTAATTATCAATTTTACAAACTCATACAAAATTCTGATGAGTCATAGTGATGTGTAAGTATTCTATCCTTAGCAGAGGTACCTTTCTAAGCCTCTGTGCACGCTGAGATATGTGGACACCCCCCCGCCCATCTCAGAGATCTACTGTAGAACTCAAAGAGAAAATGCTGTGCTGAGGAAATGCTGTGTGAGTACGATGCCTGTTCATGACACAGCCAGGGCCACTAGAGATTGCTACATGCTGTCTACACACTTTTTCTTCAGTCGGCACAACCATCTGGGAAGTATATAATATTTATTCTCATTTCACAATGGTACTGAGGCCTTGAAAAGTGAATCAGCACCCATAATCCTGCTGTATGCCCAAGCATCCAGCTCTGAGAGGCTGGCCCTCAGCCACAATGTTGTTATCCTCACTTGCCAAGAGGCCCTGGAGCCCCCCCTGACCTCAGTTTCTCCTTAAGAGGCTGAGAATAGATTTATGCCTTCCTTCCCCTCACACTGGGCTGTGTGCTTCCAGGGCAAGGCTTCAGGTAACAGCCCTCTGAGGGCATCCAGCTGATGATTTTCAGACTGATGATCGTGCCTCTACCCCATCACGTTCCCTATCAGCTGTGCTCCAAATCCGGTGTGAACCAGTAGACACAACCTAATTAGTTTCTGATTAACTCCTTTGGGAAGACGCAGGGATGTGACATCCTAGTGTGTGAGTGGGGGAGGGAAGGGAGAGAGGGGTTGTACGTAGGAGCCTTGAGGAGGTAGCCATACTGCCAGTCTCAGCAGGTCTCCACCTGGCAGCACGTGGACCTGTTTCCTTGCCTGAATCCTCCCTTATCCCCTGTTCTGAGCAGCTAAATCAAAGGTGGCAAGGAACCCACCTGGGATCCCACAAGCTGTTATCTTTCCACTGATGTGTCTGGCCATCTACACCCTCTGTGCCACCCCAAGTATCCCCATATCCACACTCTGCTCTAGCTCTAAGGCCCCAGTTGCATAAATCAGGCTGATCACTACTTGGGGACTGTCCAGCTCTTAAATTCTACCCTCTCAGTTAGTCACCAACTCCCTTTCTGTTCTGGGGCTCATTTCTGGGTGCTTTGTGACTAGTCGCCTGGATGCACATGTCACAGTAAGCAAGGAGTCAGGGCTGGCACCCCACTCCAGCCCCCCAGTCCTCTTGGCAGTCTCCCTGCCCTGGTGGCAGTCTCTCTGCTCTCTGTTGCTTCCTGCTGCCCTTCTGAACCGCCAGTGGCATGTCCAAGCCACCTGACTGCCTGATCAACCCCCAGGGAAAGCAATCTTCCTTGTGCTTTCACACTGAGAGGAGAGACGGGTGTGTAAAATCTTTTGTATAGGGCAGGAGCAGTATGTGGGGTGCATCTGCCTGGGGCAGCAGACCTCAGCCAAGGCAAAGAGGAAAAGAACACCCTTTACAGTCAGATGAGCCTTTTCCAACCTGGGGGTGGGACTAGAGACATGGGCTGGAGCTGAGAGCCCCCAGGGAGGGCCGAGAAAGGTCAGGCCTAAGCTTTGCTTCCCAATGAGGTAGTAACAGAAGTTGAGGGATTCAAATACCTCCTTGGAAGCAAGGCTGTCTCTACTTCAGAGAAAAATCACTTAGCCTCAGCATCTACTGGTGCTGGACACCTGGTAAAGTAACACCTGTAGCCAAATGCAATCGATTATTGGCTGTGTGCCAGGCACCCCAGGAGCATAATTTTATTTAATCTTCTCAATTTACCTTCCTTATGTTTCAGATGGGGAAAGTGAGGTTCAGAGAGGTTAAGTGTCTTGTCTAAGATCATGCAGCTAGGTCAGTCGAGTCTGCCTTTTTGTTTCAAAGCCCTTAAACATTCTGCTCACAACAAGATCCTGTCCACTTTTCAGAGAAGGGAACTCAGGCACAGGGTGGTGAAGTCATTGGTTTCAGTGGAACAGTTGGAATGTTCGAGGAGAGTCCAGAGGGGCAGCCTCTTGCCAGGTGCTCGTGGGGCTACGTGGATCAAGCCCTTCGGGCCTCTGCTTCTCCACGTGTCACTTGCGCCCTCCCATTCCCACCATGGGCCTGGCCACCCACGATGGCACCTGCGCGGTTCCGGAAGGCAGCCCTGGGTCCCCACTGCGCGACAGCCCCCCCAGGCCGCGAAGCGTGTGGGGGACAGAGGAGCTAGCAGGCAAGGCGTCCAGGGGCGGGGCGGGGCTCTACCCAGCCTTGGGTCCCTGTTATGGCGCACAGCAAAGTCTGTCCCAAAGGGAAGAAGGTGTGGCGGGGAAGCTCCCTCACCCAAGCTGGGTGCTGAGACAGGCCAGCGCCTTGGTGGAAAGCCAAGCAGGGGCACGGCGCGGGTGACCCTCCCGTCGGAGGGTCGAACTTCCTGGCTCAAGGCAGGTGTGAGGAGGGATCAAGCTCAAACTCTGCAAATCCCCGGACCATTTCCTCTCCCCGCCCTAGTTTCCCTCTTGAGTGGGCTGCTGAGGGATTCCCCCAACCGAGGGCGCGGGGCCGGGGAGACTGTCGTGTCCCCTACCCCCACCGGGTCTCGCGTGTCTGGGGCGTGACTCCGGCAGGGCAGGGCCGCAGGAGTCCCCGGGTCCCGCTCCGCTCCGCGCGC